CTACTGTTCACTCTTTTTTTAAACTTATTCACCCTTCTCTTGGTGGTTCTTGAATGGACTTTGAAGATGGAAGCCAGAGTATAAATGTTGGTACCATTAATGAAGGCATGAATGATCTTTATTCCTCTCACTATTGCTCAGTTGAGACGACAGTGTGTCTGACACAAAAATATTTTAACCTGTTCTCTTTCTAGCTGAATAACTCAAAGGGTTTTGCAGTGATTCTTACATGAAATGGTGTCAAGATGGCTAAATGCCCAGAGAGGACATTTTTAAGATATTAAACATTTTGTGGGATTGACAATTATGCTGTAATACCATTTGGACAATTTTGTTGTTACACCCGGTATATATCTCAGTTTAGATCCACCACGGAATATGCGAGCAAGCGGCGCTAGATTGAGTCTGATTTGCTACCTCTTCGTCACCGAGGCCCGTTGGAACTGTTGGTATGACGTTTGCTTGATGACCTAACTGTCCGGGTTTCAATTCAGATGAGTCCCAAATATAGGACGAAACGGCCGTCCAGTGCTTTCTGCATTCTGTTGAGGTTTCTATCAGACTCGATGAATTACTTAATTATAATTATCAAATCCTCCTCATAATTTCTATCATTTGTATATCATTGCTTGAACCGGCTTCTAATGCTCATGTTTGAGCGGCTTGGGGATAGTAGTCGTGGCTCCTGGGTGCACAGTCCTGTGGTTAGAGAGAATCTCAGTTGAGTTCCACTACGGAATATGTGAGCGAGCGACGCTATATTGAGTCTGATTTGCAAACTCTCCGTCATCGAACATGGAACAGTTGGTATGACGTTCGCTTGATAACCTAACTGTCCGGGTTTCAATTCTCGGTGATGGATGCGCACTGCTGATGAGTCCCAAATATAGGACGAAACGGCCGTCCTGTGCATTCTGTTGAGGTTTCTTTCAGACTCGATGAATTACTTAATTATATATATATGTGTGTGTTTGTGCGCGACACACTTTCCAAAGTTTGATCAAATATCACGGCAGATTTGTGCGCGCACACACGCATATATTTGTGTATATAAAGTTTCCCTTTTGTCTGTATTCATATATGCATATGTGTGTGTGTACGAGGGTGTGCTAAAAATTTTTCGATTTGACTTTCTTCCCAGAATCAGTATTATGATGTTTGTCCATTAATTAAAACATTGACTTCGGGAAGTGAATCAGCAGATAGCTAGATATTGGCAATTTGAGATAGATAAAAAAAAAATTGAGATAGATAGAATCAAATATTGATCAAATATGGATCGGAATCCGACAGAATAAGATAAAGAACAAATAGTTTATCAATATTTGAGAAACGTTTCCTATTTGTTCTTTATCTTATCATAGATAGATAGATAGATAGATAGAAAGAAAGAGAAAGAAAGAAAGAAAGAAAGAAAGAAAGAAAGAAAGAAAATATTAAGAGTGGGAATATTTGCATTTATTTCAAATCATAGCTGTTTTTCACTTCGCGCGCTTGTCAACATTTTTTCATTACGAAGGTTTTACCAAGTGAAAAAAGATCGATTGTGTTAAACTATCGATTAATTCTTTCGTAATTAGTGATACGAAGCATCAGTGATCATCACTTCCGGTAACTTTGGGTATTGTTAGACTTCAACTCTTTAATTTGGACCTCTGGAGATCTGACATTATGCAGCCGGATAAATTTTAAGAGGCAAAAACGCCATTTTATTTTCTTAGATAATGACAGGCGACTAAAAGTAAATGACGGAGAAGATATTTTATATCAAGCAAATTAAGTTCTTACTTAAAAATCCCTATGTCACTTGAGGATGTAAAAGCTCATGATTCTCCACAACTTCCTTTTTTAGTACCTGTAATCTGTGCATTGATGTTAGTAAAGGTAATGGAGTGGTTCTCTACTTTCAGTGTTTTTCAATTTAGAGTTGTACTCTGTTATTAAACCTATAATTTCTTTAACCATTGCACTCTAAGCAAGGTAGTAAAGCCACTAAGACACAAGGGTTTAAGAAAACAAAACGTTATTAAGGAGCAAGAACAATGAAAGAAGAACAATCAAAAAGACAGTAGATAACGATTGACATTGGATTTACACTTTTGAAGATCAATTTGGCTGGAAAACATGGAACCCGTAAAGTCTTTCACAAGCAAGAACTGTGAGAGAAGAAACTGTTAGCATAGAAATTACGGTTACATCTAGCCAAGTCAACTGTGAATTTATGAGAACTTTAAGTACTTCGCTTAAATTCATAAAGTCTAGATACCATAGAGGAAATTTCACCCGAATAATTATCATGAAAGTATGTATAGAAAAGTGTTGTGGTGTCCTTCCTCTAAAGAGTCTATGTTGGACTCTTCCGCCTAGTATAAGATTAGTAGGAGATAAGGCCTTGGGGGAGCAGTCCAAGATGTTGTGACCAAGTAAATGGTTAAAGAAATAACAAAACACGTGTTACAGATATATCATATATTAAACAGTAAGTACAATAGAATAGTATTACACGACTTGTGAGTATGTGTCGGTTGACCTAGGTTCAATCTAATCGACTGCTCCCCCAAGGCCTTCTCTCCTACTAATATTATAGTAGGCGGAAGGAAGGACACCACAGCAAAAAGGCACAAGGAAGTTGCATTACGGCGGTGGGAAAATGACTGAAGTCGAGATGTAAGGACAGGACAAATAACATTGCAGATTCTTCTTTGTATTTTATCAAGGATCTCTAAATATATAACAGGAGTATCAGACCAGATGTGACAGCAACATTCAATGCATGAACGAATGGTAGACTTATAAATGTGTAATATAGAGTCTGGCGAGTAAAAAATTGCATTGCGCGATACAATGAACAAACTTTCCTAGCAGCAAATATGTAGCAAGAGCATTCATTAGTTTAGAGGCGCATTCAGTGTGGATCAAAGTCACGATAACGATCACCGAGATCATATTGCTTACCATTGTGCTACGCTAGACATGAAAACGATTTCCTTGAATTGAATCAACATTAGAAGTTGTTGTAACCTAGAAAAGTTTCTTGAATGAGGAATAACCAAAACGGAGGTTGGAAATGAAATGGTAATCTTTATAACATCAACAAAATACAATACTCACCAGCGGCGTGAAGTAGGTAAACCACTACTAGTGGTAAACTAAGACAGCATATTACGATATTTACCTGCCTCCTCACGAGGTAGGATGCGGCACAAGGCCAAATTTAATGCAGGGAAATCCGAGCCAGTGGGCTCGGGCCACAATTGGCCGTAGATCCCGCATACGCGTGATCGGGTATCTGTCTACCTCCTCGGACGAGACTCTGCCCTTCGGCATAGCCTCGTCCGGGTTCCTGTCTTCCCAAAGGCAGAGAGTTCAACACGGCAAGAGTGTCCAACGTATTCATGAAGATTGGGACATACCCATTAGCGTTCATAGGTACGGTATATGACACCTTTCTTCCTGATTTTCAATGTATTTCTATAGTACATGTAATAAACATATCCTTTCGGTAATATTTACATTAAATCCTGAACACTAACAATTCCTTTCCTCTTGATTTCCAATCCTTTTACATGATATATATATAGAAACCTTATTCTTTCAGCAATGCTTACATTGACAATACCTTTTGTTGTAATCTAAAAAGGTTACTGAATGCGGAATAACAAAAACGGGGGTTGGAAATGAAATGGTAATCTTTATAACATCAACAAAATGCAATACTCGCCAGCGGCGTGAAGTAGGTAAACCACTGATAGTGGTGAACTACTTATAGAGCACTTCCAATAGTGTCCAACGTATTTATGAGGATTGGGACATACCTATTAGTGTTCATAGGTACGGTATATAACAGAGGGACATTGAATAACGATCGAACACACGATAAGAGTCAGTGAGTTGGTATTGCTAACCACTGCGCTACAGTAGACACTAGCTTAGTTTGACAAAAGCATACAGTAGTGGGGATGGGGGGAGGGCGACCAGCGAGTTTCAAACTTGACATTTGTAAATAAAAACAGAGTACAGATAGATTTTTAAAAAAGTCATTGTTTGATTTGACGCTATATTTAGAATATAGACAGGAATCCAACTTCTGAAATTATGGTTGGTTGATTTGTTTAACGGCATATCAACTCCTTATGGGTCATTTAATGCTGAAATTTAATTTTCTTGGGAGCTTTGAAGTAATAAAAATACGATGCGTTATTCTGCTTTCACAATTGAAAACATGGTAGATAATTCTCAGCTTTTGTGCATATACATGTTTGTGTGGACATGATTACTATAGGTTGTGATATGTGTGTTTTATGTTGTTTTCTTTATTTTTTAGTTATATTTTGGAATATAGATTAATATGGATTAATGCCCTGAAAGTTTATTCATATGTGTTGTTTGATTAGTTGCTTGCTTTATTTACCGACATATCAACAGCTCTATGGGTTATTTAATGTTGAAATCTAAATAACTTGAACGAATTTGTATACCTTCAACTACAGATAAAATGTGTTGCTGGTCATTTTACTATATGCATTTGACATTTTATATAAAAATGTATTGATAGAGTTTTTACTGTTAAAATAATTTTTTTTTTTTTTACTTTCATAGTGTTTTTGTTTGGAGGGGTCATTATTTGCCTATAGGTGTGACCCTAACAGGTGTTACGGCTTTGGGTCACGGCGGATATGGGATCTAAAATTATAAAAAAAATATAATGCTGTAGGTAGAGGAAGGTGTAACTAATGATAAAAATGTAGCCCTAACTAACTTTTTCTATTTTTACAACAGGACTAGTTTCTTTCAGTAGTCGCGCCGGCAGTTGCGCCTTCCATCCACTTGATTGTCTTGAAAATCGACATTTAAAATCTTGACTGTTACATGCGCTCGAACGCAAGCTACAGGTGCTAGAAAAAATACTCAACGATCTAATATGATTCAGGGAGGTAGATATAACCATATAATGAGAAATGGAAACAGTGCGAAAGAGGGGGGGTAGAGAAATAATTAAACTAGTAAACAATTAATGAGAGAGAAGGGGCAGAATACCGTAGATTGAATAGGAGAGAAAGATATACAATGACTGAGATATGGACATAATGATAATGAAAAATTGAGATAGATAGATAGATAGATAGATAGATAGATAGATAGATAGATAGATAGATAGATATTAACAATTTGAGAAAAAACAGATAGATAGATAGATAGATAGATAATGAAAAATTGACATAGATAGATAGATAGATAGATAGATAGATAGATAGATAGATAGATATTAACAATTTGAGAAAAAACAGATAGATAGATAGATAATGAAAAATTGACATAGATAGATAGATAGATAGATAGATATTAAAATTTGACAGATAGATAGATAGATAGATAGATAGATAATGACAATTTGAAAAAAAACAGATAGATAGATAGATAGATAGATAGATAGATAGATAGATAGATAGATAGATAATGACAATTTGAGAGAGATAAAAAAAGATAGATAGATACTGCGAAAGACAGACTGACATACAGACAAGCAAAGATATAGATAACGTACAGCTTGAGATAGCTAGCTAGATATGTAGAGAATGAGACATTTAATTGTAAACCTTAATGCGCATAAATTATTTTGTTTCAATTTCTTACCTGAACTAAGAGAGAACGATTACTGGCAGGAGGTAAAAAAAAAGCATAAAGCGAATCATCCGACAGACGAGGAAATGATACCATTTTGTCTGGCGAATGTTTTACTAAAAAAAAGCAGGAAAACAACGCGTTGGCAACATGGAAAACACTAATCACAGGTGTTACTAAACGCATTGGGCACGTCACACCATGTCAACAACACCTTTTCCTGTTTACCATCGCCTTCAGAGCAGAATGGCCCCTTCCAGAGGGATCGGGGACTTCGCTTTCTATACCAAATCGTAATTGCAGAGCCGCACGCCCAGCCCTTAATTTTGCAGACAGTGAAGGCTGATGAATGCAAAAATGAATTAATAATTGCGAGGTGTCATTCTTAAAACAATAAATGCTTAAGTCTTCCTGCATCCCATTCTAATTTTTTTACCCAATCTCCTTTCTCTCTGTCTTTATGCATTTGCACCTGTCCGTCTCGCTGTTTCTCCCCGAACGAAGGTCCTAAATCCTTAGCACCTGAGTGAACCTATCTATTCCGATGTAGCTATTAAATATTGATACGCGTCGAATATACTGCTGGTAATTACTAATAGAAAAAAAAAGAAGATGTTATGCAAGGTATTGAATAAGTTGTCAATGTAACGAGAAATCTTATGTTTTGTACCACAGGGAGGAGTTCTGTACTTCGTGACTAGAATTTAGTCAATCGTAAGAAAATCTTTTTTTCCAGTCAAGGAGAAGAACGTTTCTTGTCCTTTGTTTGCGATGTCTGCGAATAAAATTTCAGTTTATTGCATATAGAGCCACACTTCACTTAACGATCAAGTTCCGTTTCAACGACCTGGTCGCTAAACGAACTGGTCGCTAAACGAACTGGTCACTAAGTGAGAAGTTGTACCTGACCACTATTTCCGGCCTCTACTCTATGTCATATGTTTGTGTTTAACCAGATTCAGATAGGTTTAATGTAATTTTTGCACTATTTGTAACATTTTTATTTCTAAATTTCTATAGTAAATTTCCTATAGTACTCTATTTTCTATAATAAATTCCTACATTACTCTGTTTCCTATAGTAAATTTCCTATAGTACTTTATTTCTATAGTAAATTTTCCTATAGTACTCTATTTTCTATAGTAAATTTCTATAGAACTTTATTTTCTATAGTAAATGTACTATATTACCCTTTTTCTATAGTAAATCCTATAGTATTCTATTTTCTACAGAATTATTTCTAAAGTACTCTGTTTTCTAAAGTAAATTCTATAGTACTCTATTTTACTATATTAATTTCTATAGTACTCTATTTTCTATAGTAAATTTCTATATTACTCTTTTTCTATAGTAAATCCTATAGTATTCTATTTTCTATAGAATATTTCTATAGTACTCTCTTTTCTATTGTAAATCTATAGTACCTATTTTATATAGTAATATCAATAGTACTCTGTTTTCTATAGTATATTTTCCTATAGTTCTCTATTTCTATTATAAATTATCTATAGTACTCTATTTTGTATAGTAAATTATCTATGGTACTCTATTTTGTATAGTAAATTATCTATAGTACTCTGTTTTTCTATAGGAAATTTTCCTATAGTACTCTATTTTCTGTTGTAAATTTTACTATAGTACTCTGGTGCAACATAGTCTTCCTACCCATATATCCTCTTTGTTATATTCAGATAAGCTGAGTAAATATCAAGACAACTAGGCCTTACCCTATTTGTATATTGGTGCAACATGGTCTTCCTACCCAAATTTCCCCGCTGCATTATATTAAACTAAGCTCACCACCAAAAGAGACATACCTCACCGACATGTAGATTGGTGCAACATAGTCTTCCTGTCTACATTTTATATTTGTGTCATATTCAGGTAAGATTATTAATTATCAATACAGGCAGTCTTTCCCCATTTGTAGATTGGTGCAACATGGTCTTCTTACATTTCATGTTTGTGTCATATTAAGGTAAGGTTAATAAATATAAAGTCATGCAAGCCTCCCCCACTCGAAAATCTTCCAGCCAACATCTCGTTTTTGTGTTATATTAAGCTAAGCTTAGTACTTATCAAGACAGAGAGGCTTTCCCAACTTGAAAATTGGCGCAATGTGATCTTCCCACCAATACCCCCTCTTCGTGTTATATTAGGATAAGCTTAGTAATTATCAAGACATGGAGGTTTTCCCAACTTGAAAGTTGGCGCAAAATAATCTTCCCACCAATACCTCCTCTTTGTGTTATATTAAGCTAAGCTTAGTAATTATCAAGAGAGACTTTCCCAACTTGAAAATTGGTGCAACATAATCTTCCCATCAATACCTCCTCTTCGTGTTACATTAAACTAAACTTAGTAATTATCAAGACATGGTGGCTATCCCAACTTGAAAATTGACGCAACATAATCTTCCCATCAATATTTCCTCTATGTTATATTAAGCTAAGCTTAGTAATTACATAGTGGCTTTCCCAACTTGAATCATAATCTGTCTGTACTCAAGCTATGCTTGCTTCCGTGTGCAACATCAGTGAGAAGCGACAGCTTCTAGAATGTACAGGCCCAACCCCTGATATCTTGATGTGGCATGCTATATATTAGAACGCTCTCTCATCTTTGGTGTTTATGGCGGGACCACTGAACAGCGCTATGTATTTCGGGCAATAGGAAATTTTACGCGCTGACATTTGAGACCATTCTTTCATACGTTGATTTTCTACTGTTTCGAATTTCGCATAACTCGCATCAGCTTTTATGCAAAATACGAATTGAGATACCAAAATCAAGCAATTACGAAAATTTAAATATCTAGGAAGTGTTTTAACAGAGGACGGAAAATGCGATACCGAAATCCGAAGGCGCATTGGGATAGCGAAAAATGTCATCTAAAAGCTAAGCAAAGTATTAAGAAACAAGAAAATTACGTTTGAAAACGAAGAAAAGTATACTGAACTGTTATATAATATCGGTCCTCTTACATGACAGTGAATACTGGACAGACCTATCTACTCCTATTTAGAAACAAGAAAACCTTATTTTTATATTTTTAACATTCATAATACATTGCTTATACATCAATTAGACGCTCTGGGATAGCGGAAGAAAAAGCTTCTAAAAGCTAAGCAAAGTATTAAGAAACAGGAAAATTTCGTTTCAAACGAAGAAGAGTACTGAACTGTTAATATCTGTCCTCTCATATAACTGTAAATGCTCGGCGATCTCCTCACAGATGAAGAAGTGCCCTGAGGCAACAGAAATGTCGTTCTACAGAAGTATGCCGAGAATAACATAGACTGAGCATGTGAGTCTTGAGGAAGTTTTAAAGAAAATGGAAACAGAACGTATGTTTATACTTAGAAAGAGAAAACGGAAAATACTATGGTACATAACGAGGAAAGAGGGCTTGGAAAATGTGGCACTCACAGGACATATTGAAGCCAAGAGAGACAAGAGGGAAAGCAGGGAATAACCTACCTAACGAGCTTGTGTAAATTGTTGGCAGAACAGACATTAGGAGGGACAGCAAAAATATAAACATTGCTAAAAGCTAGAAGGGGCAGGAAGTTGTGAAGAGCCATGATCACCCACGTCCTGAAAGGACACGGTATATAGAAAAAGATGAATAAGTGTACTTCTCAGATATATTTTTGATTACATTCTCTACCAAATGTTCCAAGATTTAGGATTTGGGAATGAAATCGGCAAAGATACCTACCCTGATTCCATCATGAAAATCCAGGATTTGGAATTTGTAAATACCATACATTTCAAATACACTGGTAGCAAGGATCTGCTATAACATAATTAATATAGGAAATTGAACATAGAATAGGCTACGCTAGAGGTAGTTTCGCACAACACCGCAAGTTGCTACACAACTAAAACATTAAATTAAAAAAAAACTAGATAGTCTCGTCACCATTCTTTCTATGCTACAAGACGACGCCGAGACGTGACTTCTCAGCAAGACCCTCGCCTCCCGCGTCGTCCTCTATGACTACCAGCTGAAACACAACCAAAACATTAACCTAAAAAACTAGATAGTCTCGTCACCGTTCTTTCTATGCTACAAGACGACGCCGACACGTGGCCACTCAGTAAGACCCTCGCCTTCTGCGTCGTCCACTAGGGCAGCCAGCTGATTAATTTGGCGCTGGTGGATATTCTGATGCTCTGCCAAGACCGTGAAAGCTAAAGAGACAAGGATTTAACAGAAGTAGCAACAGTAGATCAAAATTATTCATATGGATTTCATGCCTGGCACCAGACACGTTCAAAAATATCAGCTGTATACAACCGCTTTCTCAGATCGATTGTTAAAATGGCTTCGAGCGAGTGAAACATATGGATCTTGGCGAAGACCATCATTCTTCGAATAATGTGGATTGGCGCTACATAATCTCAAAGAAGTGTATCAAATAACGGAAGCTTTCAACTTTCGACAGTAACAGCTAAAATGGATATCGCATGGAACTCAAAGAAAAAATAATGACATAATGAACATGTTGGCATTCCACACAACTTCAAATAAAAGGTTAGGAAGGAAACCTCCACCAATACTGGAAAGAGCGATAACAGCTACTGGACTTTAGAAACCTATTTTCTTCAAAAAATATATTAAGACAGGTATTTTATAAACTTCAGTACTGGCTGCTGGGTCAATAAATGTCAAATGTTTCTTTATAAAGAAACGGCTAATATTACCATTAACATTATGCAACAATTTAAGCTCATATAAACCTCAGTTTTTTTTAAGATATTAGGAGTTGTATTACTTTACGTCTTATTTTTAGAGGGTACTCGTATTTGAGTAGACGTTCCGTTTATTTATATATTTTATTTATTTATTTTTAACTCTGAGTATTCGAGAAATTCAGGAATCGAACCTGCGTCCCTCAGGGCAGAGGGAGACACCGTTTAGCCCGAAGCGCCTCATCGCCACGAAGGAACAGGCGTCAGGGAATAATGAACTTGGGAAAACTATCTTCCTCAAAAAAAATATAAGACAAAGATTTTATCAACTTCAACCGACAGCAGTACTGCCTGCTCGGTTAATGAATGCCGAATGTTTCCTTATAAGGAAACGGAAATTACTATTAATAATTTGCATGCTCATACACTACCCTTTGATTGATCACGCTTTCTGTTGGATCAATGCCAGGAGAATTTGAGGGGCAAGACATTAATGCGTTATAGAGCATTAATTATTTTCCACCCTACTACCTCTTTCTCTGAGACACAAAATCTTAAACCTATCGCTACTCTATCGACACATTCCATGGTAAATATTCTGACGAAGTACATTCCCTCATTTCACCAGTTCGCCATTCCATATACATAAGGGTGAAACAGCCCCATTGCTTTCGTATTCCATTTGCAAGAAAGAAGTTCTTTTCGGACAGCTTCTTCTCCAGTGCAACAGACTCCCAAGAGGATGCTTCCCCGACTATTAGAACCGTAACCTCTTTAAATGTAGGGTCAACTGTTTTCTCTCCTACATGTCCTCACACAATTCTCACGACTATAAACAACCCCATTCAGTAGTCCTCTATTGTTGGGTGAACAATAGTGTAAAATGATAGATGTGAATAGAATGACATAGATAGATAGATTCAAAAGTCCTCTACCTAGAGTGGCTCTTGGACCTTGTATTAGGTGAACAATATCGTAAAAAGATAGATAAGAATAGAATGACACAGATAGATAGATAGATAGATAGATAGATAGATAGATTCATTCAATATAGATTCATTCAATAGATAGATAGATAGATAGAGAGATAGATAGATAGATAGATAGATGGATAGTTTCAATATCCCTCTACCTAGAGTGGCTCTTGGGCTTTGTATTGTGTGAACAATAGCGTAAAAAAGATAGATAGGAATAGAATGACATAGATAGATAGATAGATAGATAGATAGATAGATAGATAGATAGATAGATTCAATAGCCCTCTACCTAGAGTGGCTCTTGGGCCTTGTATTGGGTGAACAATAGCGTAAAAAGATAGGAATAGAATGATACAGATAGATAGATAGATAGATAGATAGATAGATGGAAGCCTTACGTTGAGAAAGAAAAGAGAATGACTTATACACAGGCACAAATACTCACCCAAACACATACACATATATGTATATATACAGAAATAGAGAGAGAAGGAGAATGAAAAGCAGGTAGATATAATGTTTAGATGATGAAAATTTGCTTAGAGTGATAATCGGTTGTGCACTGGGGCAGGAATTGGCTGGTTAACTTTAATGCTTCAAAAACAAAACTGCTCTCTATTACTCAACACAGAGATCCCCCCCATTAGAATGTCTGACGCTCAACTCTACGAGAGCACCTCTTTGCGACTACTCGGTCTCACATTGACTGCTGACCTGAGATGGATCAAATACATTGAGTCAATAGCTTCGTCCACCGCAAGGAAAGTTGGCCCCCTGTACCGCGACAGGAAATTTTTCTCGCCGGAGTCAATCCTTCAAATCTACAAATCAACCATTCGCCCTTGCATGGAGTATTGGAGCCCCTTCTATTTGTCTCAACGTTCTTGATAAAATTCAAAGACGGATATGCAATGTAATTGGCCCTAATCTGGCATCTCGTCTGCAGTCGCTCTTTCACAGACGTGCCGTCGCCTCCCTCTGTCTTTTTTACAAATACTTTGATGGTAATTGCTCCGATGAGCTGCTTTCGCTGGTTCCCAGACTTCATGAATTTAAGCGTTCTACTAGGCTGGCATCTCGCTCTCACCTTTTCACTGTCGAAACTGTTAAATGTAGCCGTCTCTTCTACTCCAATAGCTTCATGTCTCGCACTTCTCGCCTGTGGAACTTCCTCCCCTTTTCCTGTTTCCCTGATAGCTATAATCTCCAACTATTCAAACGTAATGTCAATCGACGTCTCCAGATGCCTTGATCTATCACCTATCCTTCTCTTCATCCTTTCCTCTATCACTCCTATTTGCTTTCGCTCCAACTGTTTGTAACCCCTTGTAACCCCTTGCGTGCTAGTGGCTTCCGCCTTGCTTCGGGTGAAACACTTAAAAAAAAGTTTATATCGATTCATAAATCAAATCTAGACATAAGATTAAGTAGATATGTGAGATTTCCCCCCCACTTGTCTGACAAAGAAGTTCCACTCTTAACCGTAAGATAGTATTTTTAAAGCAGTATATAAGACAAGGTCTCAAAATTTCATTTTCTTCTATTTTACCTTAGAAATATGCCTTTCCCTTCAGAATAATACATAACATACATATAATATATGCAATATTTACAATATATAATACATACAATACCCTAAGTTTGACTCATCGCAGGAATATCTTAATAATTCAAGCAAATTCAAGAGATAATGAATTCCCAAATGTAAGTCTCTCATAATCTTTCCTAGGAATCTTACACACACATCTCTTCATAAGCATCTTAATTCGCCCCGTTTGTGTTCTTTTTTATTTAATTTGCTTTGGCAATAAAATGTTATTGGTAATTGTAGGTAATTGTTTATATATTCATTCTTGTTTCAGCAAACTTAATTGTGACTTCAGTGATCAATCATATCATTAAATACGCCTCAACAAATATCATTCTTAGATAAAGAAAGCTATAAGGATTAGAAGGACAAGGTGTAAATAATTAAAAGGGCAGATAAAAAAAGGAAGGAGAATAAAAGGTAGACAAGCACTCATCTCGATCCTATCCTCTTTCTGTTTTATATCAATAATCTAAGGACGTACTCAGATCATTAGTAAATATCTATGCAGATGATTCCACAGTGTATAGGTGCACCTCCAAAATTCTAGATGACCAGAGTTTGCCAGCTGATCTATACTCTGACCGAGCCCTAGCAGCTCAATTGGCTTGTAACAGGGGTCAGCGCGTACTACTCCGATGTAATAGAGTGAGAAGGGTAAGCGTGATTGGAAGCCCCAGGCAGTATTTTATGAGCCTCGCTTACTTATCAGCATTTGCTTTTTTCTGCTTATTTCACTTTTGTTCTTGCTATCTGTAAGGCCGCCATTAGAATTTGTTTTCCTTGAGATTAAAATCTGAATGAAGCTAGCATTGAGACAACACTTAGAGATTATTTGGTGATTATTTTGGTAAATTATAATGAATGTATAAAGTTTTAACTTGGTTAAGATTCCGTTAAACCCTATCTAAATGAGAGAAATGGGAAATTAGGTCCAAGAAGGTCATTGTTAATGGCCGGTCTTCTGAAGCCCGCGAAATCAATGCAGACATTCTCAAAGGCCCCCTTCTTCGTCCTACCCTCTTTCTGCTCCATATCAATAATCTAAGATCATGAGTAAATATCTATGCAGATGATACAACGGTATATGGGTGCACCTCCAAAACTCTTGATGACCAAATCCTGGCAGCTGATCTATCCTATGACCAAACTCGTACAGCTCAGTTGGCTTGTAAACATGCAATACCTTCAAAGCCAAGCGCCTAATGTTTCATCATCATTGAGCAGACCCTAAACCATCGGCTACTAGAATGAACGGTTGTACTCTCAAGGAGGCTCCTTCCTTGGGGACATGTATTGGGACTCAAGTTCACTCCAGACCTCAAGACTTACGGTCATATCACGCTGAAACACTGGTTCTTAGTTCCACCAGCTCCGACATTTACAACTAGGGCACGCCATGCCCCGTACACAGGGTCGAATCATCCTAATTCCCTTCGTATTCCACTCGTAACTAGGGAAAGTTTTACTTAAATAGTTTCTTACAGAGAAGGCTGTTTCATAAGGTATCCGTGATACCTTATGAAACAGCCTTACTGAACACTCTAATCTGAACCTCCTGATATCGAGGATCATCTATCTATCCTACATATTCTGTTAATCTGCACGTACGCTCTCCTCTTATATCCATACTCAGCAGCCATCTACCTTGAGTTACTCTTAGGCCTTGTATTAGGCGAATATTTAGTAAAAAATATATTTATTTTATAATTTCTCGATGAGAAATAATTTCGCGCCAGTCTTTAAATACTCTCTCTTTCTCTCTTTAGACTTATAACCACATCATGTTGAAACACCGAAGTTAAGCAACGTCGAGCCTGGACAGTATCTAGATGGGTACATCGGAAAGACCAGGTGCTGTAAGCTTGAATGCGCGATTGTTGTTATGGATAGCGGCTCCAAATTGGAAATCGGAGATCCGAGTTCTAATTCCAGTCAGGCACGTTATTTTCACTTGCGCACAAATACCACTGGAAAAGATATGAATCAACCTCTTCTCCCCTAGCTATGGGTTAATTAGTAGGCCATGTATCAGTAAATCATTATCTAAAAAAATGTTCTTACGATCTAAAAATATTTCCTGTTTTTAAATAACATGTAAAAGGTTGATGGACCATAAAAAAACAAATTAATCATCCAGACCTCAAGTGGAATTCCTATATACGATCCTTTGTTGAAAAGGCTGGAAAATGTACTGCCTTTTGTACCATGCCAGAAAGTAACGGGCTCCTCCTGCTGTGCTCTCTTTTTATAAGAGCCATATTTTTTTTAAGCAGATCGCCCCAAAATAGGCCAGAGTGCCACTAGCATGCAAGGGGTTACAGAGAGTGAGAGTAAGTGTAAATAAGAGAAAGGATAAAGAGAAGGACAGGGATGAAGGTCAAGGCATCAGAAGATGTCGATTGACATTACATTTGAATATTTGAAGATTATAGCTATCAGGGAAGCAAGTGATAGGAAGGGAGTTCCACTGACGGGAGGTGCGAAATAAGAAGCTGTTGAAGTAGAAGAGATGGCTACATTTAGTTGTTTCGACAGTGAAAGGGTGGGACTAAGATGCCAACCTAGTAACACGCTTAAATTCATGCAATTTGGGAATCAGTGAACATATCTCGTCGGAGCAGTTGCCATGAAAATACTTATAGAAAAGACAGAGGGAAGCCACAGCTGTGAGATAGACACTACAGACGGGATGCCAGATCAGGGCCAATCACGTTGCATATCCGTCTCTGGATTTTGTCTAGAACCTCGAGATGAAGAGAGGGAGCACCAGACCATATATGGTAGCAGTATTCCCTGCAAGGACGAATGGTTGATTTATAGATTTGAAGGATGGACTCAGGCGAGAAAAAACCTCTGGCGCGACAAAACCGACAATAAAATGGTAGAATGAATGTCATTTCATCAAGAAATGGCACTGAGAATTAGAAAAAAATGGAAGAGAATAGGTGATAGAATGAGGGGTGAAATTCAAAGAGATATATATAATGACGACGGGAAATGATATATTTTTCAAACGAGGTTAGTGGAACGAAGCAGGGTAAATGTGGAGTACTGTTGCCATATCTGAGATGGAGTGACTAGACATCACTTTCCAACCTTGACAGTGTTCCAAAAAGTCTACACGCCCTTGTTGGTGAGGAATTATTTCCACCTCCGTAAGCCCTTTCTCGCAGGCGAAACGTCACAAGCCAATCGCTGTTGTTCTGACGGGCCACATTTTTTAGCTTCACCAGTTCAGACCTTCACGCTGAAGACAAGCCGTGTCGCGTAAATTGGGTCGAATCGTCGCTTCGTTTTCCATTAGTAAGAAGAACATTCCATTTGGGGAGCTTCATCTCAGGAACACCTACTTTGTGGAACAGACTCCCGGGAACACTCTTTCCCAATCAATACAATCTTAACCTCCTCAAGTCTAATGTCTAACAATTATCTATCCTAAATATCCTCATAATCTGTAGTCACTTCCTCCACTAAAAATCGGGCTTACGACCCCTTACGTTAAAACACCGATTCCCGCACGATGGGCCTAGTCAGTAACTAGATTGTCCATCATTCACTGCCATATAGGCGGACTGATATTATGTAACAGTCCAATACTCTAATCTTTGTTTCTCAGTCTGGCCAGTACCTAAATAGGTGACTGCTTGAGAATACCAGGTGCTGTAAGCTTGGATGTGTGGGTGGTGTAATGGATAATGGCTTGGAATTGATAATCGAAGAGCCGAGTTCCAATTCCCGTTGGGTTCGTTATATCCACTTACGCGCAAATATCTTTGGAAAAGGTATGAATCCACTTTCTCCCCCAGCTATGGGTTAATTAGTAAGATTTATATCACTAAATTACTACTATCTCAAAAATTCTTACAAAGTAAGAAAATGAATCAATCAAATACTGAATAGCATGTCTTTTAGATTTATTTACATCATATGAGTGTATGGAAACTAGTGAACGCAAAGGGAGGGATCAGTTTAAATATTGTTTGTAATATAGAATTAGTCCCTCATTTTATATCCTCATTATAATTTGTTTTTTGCTTGTCAAATTCTGATTCGGTACGAATCCACCTTTTCTCCCCCAGCTATGAGTTAATTAGTAAGACATGAATCACGAAACTAAATTATCTCAAAAAAAAAAAAATTCTTACAAACTAAAAATATTTTCTGGGTTTAAATAAGCTGAAAAATCTTGATAAACCGTAGAAAAAATGAACCAATCAATCAAATCCTCTTGCATTCATACAACAACCTTATTCAGTAACCCTCTACCTTGAGTGGCTCTTGGGCCTTTATTGGACGAACATCTAGTGTTTAAAAAAAAGACCAACATGTAAATAAAACATGAAATTCATTTACTGTTAGAGACAAAGAGAGATTTGAATGATGAAAAGCACAATAAAAAATCGTAGACAGCAAATTTTATCTGAATTATATATTGTTACTGCTATTTTTATCGTCCCATGTTTATTATTGTCTAAAAAAAATAACAATAAAAGAATGATTTTGAATTTTAATATCAAAGGTTTTTCCCACCATCGGTCCGCAACATTAACTATGCATAATTATTTTTTGTTTCTTCACGAAAACAATGTATCAAGGTTAGACGGTGCTTTTACCTGGTGTGTTCTTATGGCGATAAATGGATGCATCTTATTCGATAAAATTTAAACAGAAAAAGGACAGAAAAACGCTTTCTTTTTGTACAGCTGTTTTTGGGCAGTTGCCATTTTATACACTACGTCCGGACATGCGCACTGCCGACCAAGCGTGTCGGACGAGATACAAGAATAAAACCAGGATTGTTACTTGTAACACATGCGTTATTCAGCCGGACTCATAGAATTTATTTACGAGTCAATAGTTGATTTCAATTCTGACATAAGCCATTGCTGTTTTTGCTTGAATCATTCGAATCTCTCTTGTTCTTTTCGCGATGATTCGGCCGATGTTTTCTTTGGCCTTTCTCCGCTCCATGCTACATTATATAATTCTTGAGTGCTTCCATAGTTACGCTTCCATAGTAATATTCAACGACCTACTTTGACTAGTAATCGCCTTCCGTTCAAAACATTTCGACCGGTGCGTTTTCCAACCTACCTCAAGCGTATACCGTATTCGATGATGTTCAACATTTTTTTCTTTTTTTCTACCATTCTTTTCTCTTTCTTTTACTATAGTTTACCCTAAAGAATACTCAAGAGCCACTCAAGGTAGAAGGCTACTGAATGAGGTTGCTATATGGGCGCAGCAGGAGGAAGTAAGAAGTGCAGATTATGAGGATATGCAGGAAAAATGTTGACTCTAACTTTAAAGAGGTGAAGATTACAGTGATCTTGAAAGCATCATCTCAGGAATCTGTTAAACGAAGTAATGGCTCTCGTAAAGAATCTGTTCGAATGGAACTTCCTTTTTACCACTGGAATATGGATTTCTCCCAGTTTACGGGACATAGCGGATCCTAATTGTAAATATCTGAACTTGTGGAAGTAATGAATGTAGCTCCCCGGAATATTTCATGCTAATTAGGATAGTTCGTGGGTTCAAACGATATAGATTCTTGCTGCACAAGTGAATGTTTCTTTTATCCAAATTAAGGGGGAAATAAGTAACACATCCGGGTCAACTGAATTATCTTGTGGAGATTACCCTCAACTTGTCTGGCCAGGACAATAAAAGGAAGGTTATAAGCTATGTCTTCTTTTCGCACTAGAATACGGTAAGTTAGGATCATTCTCGTCGGCTCCAAGTAAATTTCTTTCCTCGGAGAGCCGAATACTAAACTTTAAACTCAGCTACGTGGCGCATTGCATACACACACACACACACACACACACACACACACACATACGCACATACATTTTATAACAGCAAAGACGTTTTTCTTACTTTCTCGCCTCCCCGTGTGCACATAAGTTTATTTTCTCTTTTGTAGAATTATGCTATTCTTTATTTGTTTCTCTTGAAAATTTTGAAAATTTATTTTGAAACTTCTCAACTCTTGACTTACGGCCACACCACGTTGAAACACCGGATCCCGTACGATCATCGAAGTTAAGCAACGCCGAGCCTGGTTAGTAGCTAGATGGTTGACCGCTTGGAAATGCCAGATGCTGTAAGCTTGGATTTGCAGGCGTGTAATGAATAATGGCTAATCGGAGAGCCAAGTTCCAATTTTTGTTAGGTTCGTTATATTCACTTATATTTGGAAAAAGTATAAATTCACCGCTTTATTCCCCCCAGCTACCGGTTAATTAGAAAGACTTGTATCACTAAACCATTATTATGTAAAAAATTCTTACATTCTAAAAGTAAAGAGTGTTTCATTAAGACGGATTATACATAAGAGGGCTTCATTAACCCCTTACCTGCCATGAGCCCCATTTGAGGATCTGTTAAAATTAAACTCACTACATGTTATTCCTTGTATTTATATTGAATTGCTTACATACATTGCATTTGCAGAGGTATATTTTACAACACTTAGCCTTTAAAGTTTTTATTATAAGCCGTAAGAAGACACTTTCTGTCATAATTTTACATTCCACGAGTAGAAAAATAATGACTATTTTGAAAAGTATTTTTTTTTATTATTTCTAATCAATATTATTTTTTGATGTTTTATACACATATATATTTGATGTTCTAGTTTCTATAAAAATGACAATGGTAACTACTGGAATTAAACATAAGGAATAAATAAACTCCTAAGACGCATGTCTGGGCTAAAATTGTGCATTAAAAAATTTGACAGTTAATGAGTTAAGACAAATCCACGCTAGCCGTAAATAATTCAATGTTATTGATAAAAAATTATTTATTTCTCTATTGGATCATGTTATTTAAGTCATGGCAATTATGTGTCCGCCAAATCTGAAAGAAAAAGAATCATTAATCATAATTCACATTTAAAATCGGTCCAAGTTATTGGAACACTCTTTATTTTATGGCTTTAAATAACCTGCAATGAATACATAAGCCGTAGAAAACGAATCAATCAATCAATCAAATACTGATTCAGTCAGTTATGTGCCATACGTGATACACGCTTAGGCGATCGCGGATTTTTCGATACATGACTGACGAGGCAGTAGGTTACTATTTCTTTCCGCAGTAGACCAGTTGCCATCCAAGACTACAGAACCCGGAGAAGAAGAGGATTCATAACTTTCCAGCCAACTTTAATCTGCAAAAATATAAAGGCAATGTCTATCGCTATCTACTGTCCTCCTGATTACTCCTTCCTATTCCCGCTCATTATTTGTGTTTCTAATTCTTCCACACCCTGTAACTTTTTGCGTTTTAGTGGCTTTACATGGGTGATACCGATTAATATATATATATATATATATATATATATATACCGGCCTGAATGCCCGACAAATTTTCACAGAAAATATTCATCCTCCGACAGGAATCGAACCTGTATCCTATACGGAACCGTCATTTAGCTTGACGTGCCTTTACCGATTTGGCCACAGAGGAGCGTTCGGTAAGGTCGAATTTACTGTATTTAAACTTCAATCTTCCATGAATCTCTCACGTACATTCATATCTGCTCATGGCGTATCAAATGTAAACAAATGACGTCACACATTATGAAAATTTCTTCTACATTCAGGCCGGTAAATGTTGTTTAATACTGTTTATTATAAACAGAGCATTTACTTAAATATTTGTATCTATAAAATGAATGTATAAACATAAAAATGTCTTAAAATAATTGTCGGACTTTGTCCATTTCATAATGTGTGACGTCATTTGTATACATTTGGATACGCTTTCTTACAATTAACAATAACACATTTCTAAAAACATTTTTCAAATTACATCTATATTTTCGTTGTCCTGTTATTACCGAGAAGTAAAAAACAAAAAGAAATCTATTTCCATACCTGATGATGTCTGGAGGAACAGATGAAAGCTTGTAAAAAAACTAAAAAAGACCTTATGAAACTGGAATTTATAAACAGGGATCATAACATTCATATACAGGTTCGGGGTTAATGCACTTTATTAAATTTGTTTGCGAACATGTATTCAAGCCATTTAAATTATTAACTTCTATATCTGTTTTCTGTATGAATGATTCATGTAATGTAAATTGAACTGCACCACATATTTGATATATATATATATATATATATATATATATATATATATATATATATATATATTGTTACATTAGACATGCACATACCCACAACAAAACTGTACATCTTGTTTCAACGTTAAAAAAATTTTAAACGTTTCATCAGGTGGGAAATCACGATGAATATTTGTTGAGCCCTGTTTTAAATTAATGTTTTGAACTCTAAAATCTTACTTTTCGTTCTTTTACACTTGTGTGTATACTGGCGTCCCTTGCTTATAAAATTCAGGATGCATACTTGCGATAAACTTTCACAGATGGGACAGAAAGACCCAGGCGAAGAAAAATGAAAATGACGACCTCGTCTTCACTCGTAGGATTAATTATTACTACTATTTATAAAGAATTCTGGTGTGACTGGTTCTGCTAACGGGTAATTAAGTTAATTTGCTTGTGATAAGGCGAAAAGGTCTCTTTCGAATTTTAATCTACTGAGAGGCGGATCCAAAAAGAAAAAGAAAATTTTTCATCAGTGAGACGGGGGGTGAAATTTAATAGTTTGAAAACTAGGACAAAATTGTATCACAATAGTGTCTGTCGATAACAAAAGATTTCATTTTATATTTGGTTTTTCTTTCCTTTTTTTTTTTTTTTTTTTTTTGCTGTTCGTCTTTCTTTTTTTCTTTCGCTCTCTGTCATTTTTCTTTTCTTTATCTTTTTTGTTTTTCTTTTCCTTTCCCTATTTTTCTTTCTTTCCTTGATTCATTTTCTTTTCCTTTTTATTCTAAATCTTTTTGTCGTTCTCTTTCCTTTTTTTTCTTTCTTTTCTTTCTATCTATCTATCTATCTATTTATCTATTTCAGTCTCGCCATATCTATCTATCTGTCTGTCTGTCTATCTATCTATCTATCTATCTATCTCAGTCTCGCCATATCTATCTATCTATCTATCTATCTATCTATCTATCTACCCCAGTCTCGCCATATCTATCTATCTATCTATCTATCTATCTATCTATCTATCTACCTATCTATCTCAGTCTGGTTATTTCTATCTATCTATCTATCTATCTATCTATCTCAGTCTCGCCATATCTATCTATCGATCTATCTATCTCAGTCTGGGCATATCTACCTATCTATCTATGTCCGCTCGTATCTATTTAATTATCTATCTAGTTATTCATTTTCCTATCTCTTTCTTTCCAACATTCTTCTTCATTTCATCTTTTTTTTACCTTCGAATGAAAAATATTTTCTTCTTCTTTATTTATTTAATGTACTCTTATTTATTTTTTTTATTATTTCCCTTCTCATATTATCACGCTGTTTTTTTCTTTTATTTTGTAAGACATTTCCTTCATTTTTATTAAAACTTCCGCTTGTCAATTTTCTTACGGGCGTTCTTTCATTCTTCTTTTTGTATTTCCATTTTCTTTCTTTGCTTTCATTCTTTTCTCATTCTTTCTTTAAAAAAAAAAAATACATTTACTTTTTGATACGCCTACCCACCGCCTCCTTTAAAAACTAACTTTCTCCTTCCCGTTTCATTATTTTCGTTTCTTCTCGTTGCTTCTCGCTTCTTCTTTTATGACAACCGCCGTCGCTTTTCAAAGTCACCACAATCGTTCCCAACCATTCGTTGGCCCGCACCACAATGGGGCCATCGAAATACGAAGCTCAATATGTCGCGTAAGGATATCACAACGAAGGAAAAGCATCAATGGTGGCTTTGAATAATGTATGAGGAACGCCATCGGTCTGGCTTGTATTCAAAATACACCCGCTTTTCAACCCGCTGAATTTTATTCATTTTTCCGGATATAACCCTTCTATTCGGCACCTTGTGTGACACTCTAATTAACTGTTATTACATTTATGGACAGTTTCGTTTACGGGTGTAGCTTAGTAGTTAGAGGATTAAACCAACTGAGGATAGGTTTAATGAATTATCTCTCCTTGTTGAGCAGTAGATTTCCGTTTTAAGATCTCTTCCCCCATCTTTTTTTTTTTTGTCATTTAAAAAGTAAAAACACCAGTAAAAATACCAGTTATTTTCTTTTCGTGTTTTGTTTCTGTTTCGTTTTTCGGTCCTTTTACGCTTCGGTATTTTTATTTGACACTGATTTTCCCCACCAACACGTTCTTAACAACATAAAACACAGAGATGCAGTGTCAGACTGGCCAGGGTGTTAGCTTGCCCAATGGCAAATGGGTCCCTGATGGAATGCCCCCCTCCCACAACCTATATAAAATAAAAAAAGCAATAAAGAAACAAACACAGACAACTGTTTTAGTAATAAAAAGAATAAGAACTTTATAAAGTCATCTACACACTATCAGTTATTCAAATCCAATGTGAGAGGACATTTTCAAAGCTAAAGATCATAAAAACAAGGTTAAGTAATTCGGTGTCTGGGGAGAAATTGAAATCATGCATGTTATTCATTGTGAAGGAACAGTTAGATGAATTGGATGCAGAAGCAATTATTGGCAGATTTGAACAATTATCTTGTGAACACTTAATATAGTGTACTGCCTGCAATGTCTTATTGGGCTTCTGAAGTAAATGTTAATGTGCAAATTGTGCAGTAAACTATTTTAAAATATGAACCAATTACTTAAAATTAAAATAAATAACTCGATTATAGCATGCTGTATTCACATTTTATATCTACTGCCAGTAAGATGCATTACAAAGAAATACACATTTTGTCCAGAAATATTTTAATTTTACTCTTTTTTTCAAATGTATTTTTGAAAATTTTATTTGTCACCAAAATTAAATGATAGCATTGTAGTTGTTGGTGTTCACCATCACCACCACCACCAAACTTTTGTCTCTGATGTAATGGAATAATCTGTCACCCCCATGAGTGACTACACTATAAGTAGTAACTACCTATAAGTCTCTGTAAGATCTTGGCTGCTGTCGAACTCTCTGCCTTCGGTCAGAGAGGAACTCGGACGAGGCTATGCCGAAGAGTAGGGTCTCGTCCGTTGAGGTAGTCGGAGTGGCCAGGATGTT